GTTAACGGCGAGCCCTTGGAGAATAGCAGCTGCTCTCGGCTGGTCCAAATAACTCCTGGTGAGACTGAATTTACTCAGATGCTCGAGATTCTTCACTCCGCGGCTGATTCGCAAGGCATCTTCTATGGAAAGTCTTTCAAAGAAAACAGTAAAAGAGATTTCATCCGTGATTGCTCATTTGTATATACGTATGGTAATTTTATTACGTTAATGAAAATTTTGTTCCACATATCGCGTCAGAAACAAATTTAAAATATCCTATTTGTGACAAATAAATTTTATTCCGATTGAACTCGTTTTATTTATTGTGTTGGGAAATAATATAACATTATTATGAACGATAATAATAATAATAATAATGATGATAAGAATNCTCCCGCAAAAATTAAAAGCACATGAATGACTATTGTACTGAATGAATGGACTCACTGAAAGTCCTGCCACTCGACAAAGTCGCTGCTGTAAACGACGCCCACGTTGATACCAATGCGACGCAGGTGCGGTAGGTTGTCGAGGATGAGGTCGAGCGGTATGACGCTCACCATCTCGTTCTGCAACCAAGCGTCCGAGACACCTGGACTATCCTTGGATGATTGTGCATCCTCGTCATCGCCTACCGGTGGTATCGGCCGCGGCTTCAATCTGTTGGCCCATTGTTTTGAACATTTCGTAGAAATTACGGATAATTAGGTGAAAATTTAATTTTGAGCTCACGTCGATTAAGCATCCCACTTATTGTATAATTTTGGGCAATAGAAGTGTCTATTTAAAGTCGGGCGTATTTTTAATCGATAATTCAGGTTGGGAGTATATTTGTGGCGCACTGGCGCCGATATCTATTTTGGAATTTTACGATCGATTTCTGATGCGATAATGCCCGCATGTTTGGCAATTAATTTTTACTACTCTTACGTAATTGAAGTCGCGTGCAAACGCTGCTTTCGAATGGGCAGAGGTGTATATAGATTGGTTGACTTGGTAATTTCAATGCCTTGAAAATTGGAATGAAAATTGATGATTAATATATTTTATGCAACAGGCTTATGGTTTTTTCAACACTTTAAATCAAGATTTCGCGATTCCCTGAATAAAGTGCATTCTTTTCGCTTATCAAAATTTTCAACTCATTACTATTCGTTCAAAATTTTATTATTTTCATTTATTTATGCGCGTAATTTATTTTTATTATTTAATACGAGAAAAATTGTTTTTCCATCAGATAAGTGCCGTACATTTTATAGATATTAAAATTATTCGCAAAGTATTTTTTTTTTTTTAAATATAAAAGTACTTGTTAAAATACTTTGACCATTTTCGATCTACATTTTTTTTTCTCTTTCAAATTCCATATACATTGTGTTTGCTGGGAAAATTTTTCGCAAAACACTGTGATTAAGGTAATAGTCTGACAAAAAACAAAAAAAACTTCAATAATGTATAAAATTATATCTCAAAAAAAATAGAGAAAGTAATATACAATAACGGCAAAAAAAAAAAAAAATTTCGTTTCGATGCCGAGAGAGGGAGAGAGTCTCTATACACCAATATCAGCTAGGAAACTAGATTGGACCGAAGCCAAAGACAGTGACATTTGAGAAATTAATTTTAAGATCCCTGTCTTGCAAGAGGGAGGAAAAATAGGGGGCTGCAGGTAAGTACACTTGATTCGGGCCCGTTTAATTCATCGACAAGCGAAACGGACAAACGAACGAGGTCAAGACGCGACTCCCCTTCCAGCTTCTCTCGCGGGAGAGAGGCATCAAAGTCATCGGGGCGCAGTGACCCAAAAGTGCAGCCAGCTATCGGCAACTCGAAATTTCAATCGAGCGCGTCAAACTTAAATTGCCCCGCCGACGATGGACAGGGTTTTGTTGTAAGTGTTGTGTGTCGGGTGTGATCAGTGGGGGTGCCAAAAACAGGGGTTGGTTCGAAAGTTTGCGGCCTCCGAGGTCTCATTTAACTCGTTTTACGCCCGTGACGTCCAAGTTTAATTGCGAGAGAGTACCAAGACGAACAATGGGAAAAAAAGGCCAGACATTGCGGCCAGATTTAGTACTCGGGAGCTCTGTTTTTCCGATCATGTTTCATTAATCAATTTCAACGTGAAACAATTACTTTTGCTTCTGAAAGTGTTACCAAAAAATATACTCTATGATTGACTGAAAAAACACTTCATCACACGGCTTTTTTTTTGCTTCCTCGAAAAAGTATAAAACATATTTTTTCATCCTCTCGAACAATTATAGTTCAGTAGATTTTTTTATGATATAGTATAAATCGAAGTCGGCAATAAATTTTCAACAGGTAGAGTTAACTTTAAAAAAACCATATCTGTCATTTGTGATGTTGATTCCTGACACTATTTGATTTTTGAACACATAATTATACATTGTATGGATTAAAATTTTTTCTCAATGTTGTACCTAGTCGTACTTTTTAATGCACAAACAAAAAAAAAAAAAAAAAAAATGTTTGGATTTCGCTATAGCACACAGCGATAGCCTGTATACATCGTGCCCTGAGTAGTACTCGAGAAAATGTCGTAAAAGACAGTGGAAAGAAAGGGAGATATGGCGGGGTAAGGCGAGGTAATGAAATCCAAAGTGATGCTTGCCTGTGGGGGAGTAGCTGGCGGAGCTCGAGGGCTTGCACGTGCTCGCGCACGAGCTCGAGTAGTGCCTTGCACTCGTCGCTTTTGGCTTCGAAGTACGCCGGATCCAAGCCCTCCAGGTACTCCGACAAGTGGCGCTCGCAGTAGAGCTGCAGCCAGGAGTCACCGTGAGCCGATGGATCGTTGAACTTCCATCTTTTTTTTCCCCCCCCCCATAAATTGTTGCGTGGATAAACATTCCATCATTAGTTTATATACTTTTTTGTTCGGGATCATAATGGGTCCGACATTTCGAGCGCTCGCCCGGAGCATCTAACAACTTCTATAATACCATAGAAATAACTAGCAAACGCGAAAAAATCATTGAAAAAGATGTTCTTTTTAGCGTTTGAACTGGAAAGACTAGACCAACGTCATATTAGTCGTTTAATATTTTTAGTTTCTCAAAAATGCTCTGAGCGAGCGCTCGAAACTTTGACTCGATAAAATATAAAAATAACACAAAAATGATGAAATAAAAAAAATATCTTCACTCCAGTGCTTGTATGAAACTTTTACAATTTTTAACATCTCCATACAGGAGCATCTTATATATCCATTACGCGAACTATATATATACACAGTAAAGTTCACAGTGGGTGGTGATGTTACGTATGTATACTGTACAAGCGGGTGCACGATTTGGCCAAACGCCCGGACATGCAAACGCGTGTACCTATATATGTGGTATACATATTCATGCCGCCACGATGTTATTAATCACCCGGAGCATTCGGATGTTTTCATGCGCGACGATGCTGCTGTAGGTACATTATATAGTGCTCCGGAAACTTGTCCCGATGTGGAGTGTCTGTATTTTTTTTTTTTTTTTTTTTNGGCTATTCGTTCGGTGCATGGGGTGTCTTCCGGTACAGTGCCTCTTTTTTGGAGTTTAAAGCTGTGGATTTGCATTAATTTTTTTTTTATACAAAAATACGATGTAATTATAATTTAGATGAAAAAAATTATCACAACTACACGATCTTTTATAGTTTTAGAGCTTTCAGCTCGAAATCAATAGGTAAAAAATAAATTTGTGAGTACGACACTTGCTTTACTATAAATATATAGCTTAAAAAAAAAAAAAAAAAAAAATCAGATCGTAAGCCGATTAACCGATTTTTTACTCAGCCTGCGACAACCTCGAGATTATCGAACATCCTCCCAAAATTTACGAGCCAAACTCCCCTGTATGGTTTTATTCTTTACGACATGATATATACATCAAAAAAGAGTTGCACGAGCTCAAAATTCCCGTCTCGAGTGTTGCCGTAAGCGCGCTTTTCTAATTAAATAAAAAAAAAAAAAAAAAAAACTCCCGCAAAAATTAAAAGCACATGAATGACTATTGTACTGAATGAATGGACTCACTGAAAGTCCTGCCACTCGACAAAGTCGCTGCTGTAAACGACGCCCACGTTGATACCAATGCGACGCAGGTGCGGTAGGTTGTCGAGGATGAGGTCGAGCGGTATGACGCTCACCATCTCGNTATACATCAAAAAAGAGTTGCACGAGCTCAAAATTCCCGTCTCGAGTGTTGCCGTAAGCGCGCTTTTCTAATTAAATAAAAAAAAAAAAAAAAAACACTCCCACCTAGCGTGTGCCGCTCTTTGCCAGTAGTGTTGGTGGGGCACAGCCTTGACGGCGACCTCGAAGGGCAGCTCGGCGCTCAGTAACTCGAGCAAGTGGTCCCGATCGTCCAAAGTGGGCAGCTCGTCCAGCAAGGGCTTGCTCAGCCAGTTCTCGGCTATGGCACGCAGAGCTTGGCACCCCAACTGCTCGACCAGACCATCGTCCCAGTCTTTGTTTTCCGAGCGCAAGGTGCGGCCTTGCTCACCGGGCAGGAGGAGAGTCTCCTCGGAACACCTTTTTGTTTGTTTGTTTGTTTGTTTTTTTTTTTTAATTTTAGAGAATTTGTTGTTTATTGATTTCCCATCGACAGAGTATGTTGGGTATAGTATTACGGAGGCTGGTACAATAATAAATAACAAAATAACTTTACACGTGATTTCATCGCGTACCTACTATAGATAAATTGTATGACTAGTTCGCGTTGAACAGACAAAGAAAAATAATTATTCAATACAAACGTGCTTTGTCGTTATTGTAACAATCAGTGTCATGTAAGATTATATATTTACAAAAGTACGTTTTCACATGTATTATCTTTGTTATTGTTTTTTTTTTTAAAGAATATTGAAAAAAAAGGGGGATGGGTTTCGTGGCTTACCTGAACGCCTTGAAAGCGTGAGCTGGTATAGTGTGGGGCACGCGCATGATGACTTTTTTTTTCTTTAATGGCAGGTCCAAGTATTGAATGGGTTCCTCGTCTGTTTTGTGCTTACAGGAGTGTCCCGAGGGCCTCGTTCACGAGGAATCCTTCAAGGACATCTACGCCAAGTTCTTCCCGCACGGCAGTGAGTACCTATTGCATATGTTTGCAAATTCATTTGAATTTTATCATAATTATACGCGAGACGATTATAATTATCAATAAACGTGGCAACTTTCGCGCATATAATTTCATACACATGCATATACAGTGTAGTCCTGCAGCTTCCACGGGTGTATAATACATATGGAATTCGAGTAAAGTTTTTCTCCCTTGGTATAAAAATTTTTCAAGCGATTATTTCATTGTGTAAATTTGTCTTTCCACCAGACGCGGCTCCCTACGCCCATTATGTGTTCAAAGCGTTCGACGTCAACTGCAGCGGCGCCATAAGCTTCAGGGTAAGGCCTCGTGTGCACCTGTAGGTGGAATGAAAAAAGAAAAAAAGAAAAAAAAAAAAAAAAAAAACACTTGCCTAATATATTTTTGGAGTGCAGGACCTGCTGGTGACGCTGTCGACGTTGCTACGCGGTAGCATATACGAAAAGCTGCGCTGGACGTTCAAGCTGTACGACATAAACGGGGACGGTTGCATAACGCGGGGCGAGCTCGGCGAGGTGGTAACGGCCGTGCACGACTTGATGGGCCGCAAGCACCGCGAGACCGAGGAGAGACAGGCGCGCGAGCAACTCGACAGGGTCTTCCGGAAACTCGACCTCAACCAGGACGGCGTTATCACCATCGAGGAGTTCATGGAGAGTTGTCTCAAGGTATACACGTAGCAACGAGAAATTCAATTTTTTTTTTTTTTTTTTTTTTTCTTCCCAACTCGTGCCATTACGTTTGTTATGCCGTCAACTGGGGCATCTGATAATTTCGCGCAGTTATGAACTCCAGTAAGGGCTCTGATGTACCTCGTTATCTCTGTGGGCCAACATTGCCATTTGTATGGCATTTTTAATTGTCATCCTCGCGCAAGGGTGTACAGTAGTGACGAATAATGATGATAATAGTGACACGGTGGCCGAGTTGAGTCAATATAAAAATTATATACGATTGCAATTAAACGCGGAGAAATTATTCAATCGCGTGTGTAAGATTCGTTTGCGTCGCTTCGATCGTGCATACGTGTTTTTTAATTTTTTAATCAATTAAGGGAAAAAAAGATAAATGGATTTTTCAAACAATCAACAATTTTATGCTATTTTAAACATTAACACAAAATGGCTTACTACAATACGTGAAAGGTCCCTCTGAACACGTGCACTGCGAGTATTTATGGGTGGAATTTGGGACGGGAATGCTCGGTGTACTAGAACAGACTTTTTCGTGTCTTCGAAATAAATCGTTTAATTTAGTAGAAGCGACGTGTTTGAAGCGTGTAGTTAAAAATTTTTGTGTTTTTTTTTTTTTTTTTTTTGTTTGTTTTATAAAATGGATTGCTGCATAGTGTTGATAATATATAAAATCGTTGCTTCGTTAACTAATTCGTCTATTCTATTGAGCTATGAACAATTTTTGTTCTTCAACGATTGACACAAGTAGGCTGTAGAGAGTAAAACATTTCAGAGATTTTTTATGCTTGTATATATGAGTATCAAGTCGGTGGCAGCCAACTTGGTTTTATACATTTAGTTGTCTTTAAAAATCAACTATCAACGCAATAACCGCAATACGTTTTGTAAAATCAAAAATATAATTTCGATCTTTACACTGCAAATACAAGTGTTTTTTCTTTTTTTTCTTTTTTTTTAACTTACATATCAACTTGATTGTTGCTAGAGTAATTCATATACTTTACTCGCCGTATAAAAACTTGCTAAAACAACCATTTTTACCTTGAGATGAAAATTTTGATTTTTAGTGTATACACACGCTTTAAACGTGTAATTAACGATAAAGCCCTTAGATGTACAGTGCAAAGATGAAAAAATAATTTTTTCAAATTTTTCAATAAATTTATTGACAAAAGAGCCGCCTCGTACAAAAAATACATGTTTTTTTTCAAAGAATATAATGTACGAAAAGGGGGCCCTTGAACCATATATAGTGGAAAAAAAAAAAGAAACTGAAAGTCAAACGAGTACACACGTGTACACAAATTGCAGGACGAAGTGATAACGCGCTCGCTGGCGATGTTCGACGGGGACCTCTGATCTCCGGAGGATGAGGAGGCCGACCGGAGCGCGGAGGGTAGCCCATCGGCCCTCGGTGCCACCTCCGCCTGCGCCGGCGCCTCCTCGGCCACGTCGACCCTGGCGACCACGACGACACCCGGCGCGGCCAACGACCCCACGAGGCAACCCCCCGCGCCAACCAACCCCCTGCAAAGGAGCCGCGGCGCCCCGAGCGACGTCCTCTCGGCCACCGCCACCTGGTCGACTTTTTCCTCGTCCTCGCCCTCGCCGCCCCCCTACCACGAGCTAAGGCGCGTCACTACCAGCGTCACCAGCACCGTCGCCGCCAACGCACCCGCACCCCCCGCCCCCGGCACCAGCTCCAACGGCTCAAGGCCCGACTACTCCACCTCGTCCCTACTGTGCTAGACGACCACGTGCGACTGACGCCTATACATTTGTATAATATTTACGATGTGCGCGCTCCTCGAACAACCGTGTTGGACAACTTTTTTTTCTTTTTTTTTTTTTTTTCCTCTTGGGCTCGAGTGAATGAGCCTGGCACCTATACTTCATTTGTATAAATGATCATCCAAAACGCGAGTTAAAACCAATGCGACGGAACACACGAGCATACAACGTGTACATAACTCATATAGGAGCACACAATTTTATTGTCTTCCCGGGGGTGCGCGATGGTACAAAGTACAACTTGGGCGTGTATGTAAAAGACACACACACACACAACACACACAGCGAAACCGAATGGAAAAAAGAAAAAGAAAAAAGGGACATTTTTCGTTTTTGTAAATAAGATTAAAAACGCGATACGAACAAATACAAACAGCGGCGAACGAGTGACGACTATATGATAATATTATTGTATTGTACTTATACCTCTGTGTACTGTGTATACCGTTACAATATATTGTGGTGACTTGGAAGGTGTGGGCGTGACATGAATATATCCAAAAAAGCATACACATGTGGAGATGTTCGCGAAGAGTGCGTGTATCGGTCGGTCAGGAGTTTGAAAGGCAGTCATTGATAAGGAGCGAGTAAAAAAAAAATCATAGGAAATTGTAAGAGAGGATGTACACATCCATGAGTGTAGCTGCAGCACTTGCGATAACGGGGGACGAGGAGCCTGTTATTGATGTTGTTGTTGTTGTTGTTATTGTTGTTGTTGTTGTTGTTGTTGTTGTTGTATGACCCGAGTATGTTGATACATGACATATGTGCCAAATCGTTTTAGGAGTTATTAAGTAAGAGTTAAAATTATCGATGCTAAACGACAATTGTTAAAGTAAAGAATTTTAATGAAAAA